GGATCGGCAACCACACAGTTCTTCGGGGGACAAGCTCACCTGGCACTCCGTGACACTGCACTCCGGTGACACCCCGCCTCCTGCTTTGCTCGCTCCCTCCCATCCCACAGCCACACGCACGGCGCCTCCTTATCACCGACAGAGAAGCCGCCCTGACCAGCCCGCACAAGGTGATCTGGACTGTGTCGGACTATATTTATAACTAGGGTGGTGTTGGTGTTCTGAACAGAAGTATTTTCACCTTTCAGTTTAAATGATGTTTCAAGGCTAAGCAAAGACACTCAGTTAAAACTGAAATCACATGTAATTCCTACCCCAGAAGACCCCACGGACCGCATCGTTAACCAAATGTTTGTCGGCCAGTGACGTTCCTGAGTTTCTGCGCCCCCTTGACTTCCCCTCAGTACATGCAGTATGTATGTTAAGATGGTGTAAGATGGTGTAAGAGGCTGTAAGATGCTGTAAGATGCTGTAAGATGGTGTAAGAGGCTGTAAGAGGCTGTAAGAGGCTGTAAGATGGTGTAAGATGCTGTAAGATGGTGTAAGATGGTGTAAGATGCTGTAAGATGGTGTAAGCTTGCACCCGCTGTTTATCTGCTTCATGTCTTAGGATGTGTGGCTTTCTAAAAAGTTTAATGAAACTTTCCATTTAATGAAAAAAAAAATAGGCATAATCTGAGAAGACTTACCAAGTTATCTCAATTTCCTTTTTGTATTTTAATAGAGACAACTGGCAACGCTGAGTAAGGTCCACGGACGGCAACGTCTGGCCAACATGCTCGTCCTGGGCTTCCTCACGCACTGGGATGTGCAGGAGGGTCTCCCCGAGTTTGGGAAGCACGCTCTCAAGTTTTTAGGGGTAAAGACACATCAAGTCTGCGACTTACTTTCAGATGGTTCAGAGAAAAAATGTATTTATATAGAGAGAAATAGGTTAAGGGCATAACAAATGTGTTAAAATGTTTAATGTTTGGGGAATCTGGGTGAAGAGAATATGGGAATTTTTTGTCTTTCCTGAAACTTTAAAGTCTGAAGTCATATAAAATAAAGCTTTTTAAAAATCATTTAAGGGATGGTATGCAGAAATGAGGCCAGCTACAATATTTAATAAAGATACAAAGGGTCCTTGCGCCATGCACAACACCTGCAGATCTAAAGTTAAGAGTTCTCCAGAAAAACAGAATCACCAGAATACGAACACACAGGTTTGTCTTAAGGAAATGGTTCACAGAACCGTGGAGGACCAAGACCAAAATCAGCTGGCACAGGCCAGAGACCGAGGAAAGAGTCACAGTGGGCGCCCAAAGGCAGCCTGCCAGCAGAGCTCCTTCCTGCTGGGGAGGGGGTCAGTCTGTCCTGCCAAGGCCTCCCATCATGCAGGCCCACTCACGTTATGGAGAGGCATCTGCTTTACTCAAAGTCCACTGATCTAAATGTTAATCTCATTCAAAAATCACCCTCACAGAAACATCCAGAATAATATTTGACCAAACATCTGGGCACTGCAGCCCAAACAAGCTGACACAGAAAATGGACCATCACAGCCTGTAAGAGCGGAGGCCAAACTGTCCTCTGTGAAGTCATGGCACACGCTCTGAGGCTTCCTCACCTTCCGCTTGGCAGGCTGCCGGGGTCAGCAACACGGAGCCCATCAGCGTCTAGCCCCGCAACACAGCTCTGAGCTGCCTGGGGTCGGGGAAGCCAGCCCAAGGGATATGGGGCCGACTTCACACAGACAAGTGGAAACACACCAGAGCAACTGGGTGTGTTAACAAGATTCAGGGGCTGGTCCCACCACTCGTTGTAAAACAGAATCTCTGAGTAGGGGTGAGGGCAGTCAAGGCCCCAACAGACACCCCTGCAGCATCCCTTAACACCTGGGGCCAGCCAACCCTAAGATTAACTGTTCACTATAGTCAATGCCTTAGGAAGATTTAAGATTGCAGTTTGGGCCCATGGGAGAACTGCTTCTATCTACCACGGTGGTTCTGCCACGAGTTCACGGGAAAGAGCTGCAGCACGCCAATCATTTCATTGCTGCAGGGACACAAAAGGCCAGCTGTCCGCACCGCATGTCTGCTCCGTAGACCCTCGGAGGAAACCTCACACCTGTCTGCTCTAGAAGTCGCTGCAGGCTCCCCAACTCCCGTACCTGGGCCGGAGCTGCCATCTCCTCTGACTCCCGGCACACGTGTCTGCATCTCGGGTCCTGACCTTGCACCTGGATTAACCTGCTTTCCTTTGGGGAAAAGTCTCACCCCAACTTTCTCCTTTAGGGTCATCTATGAATCTGAGCCTTTCGTGTTGTATCTTGCTTAAGCAGATTCTCTTTGGATAGAGATGGAATGTCACTATCAACTGGAAACATTTTATAAGCAAACACAAAATCCTAAGGTGTTAGAATGGCAAGGACCTCAGAAATCAATTACCTGGTTCAACGTACCCACACCCCCACATTTGACAGATGAAAGAGCTGCGTCCAAGGCCACGCGGACTGAACGGTGAGGCCAGGACTCAAAGGAGCTGGGACTCCCGCGAGGCGCCCTCCCCATGCAGCCCCTTCTGCTCCTGAATGTGGAATGCAGTCCTGCTCTGGAGTTTTATCCAGCGTCCTGACCTTGCAGTGACCGCAGCAAATCCCTGAACCATCTTTAGAACTAAGTGCTGCCTCCTGCAGAGTAAAACCTCTCAATTCTAGCCAGATTTTTTTGAATTGCTGATTTGCTGGGCAGGTTGCCTGAAAAATCTTCCTCTGAGCACTCATGATTCCAGTTTCTGCTTTTACCAAAAACACAGCAGAGCTGGCAGAGTTATAAAATAATAGGTACAGGCTGACATTATTTGGTGTAATAAAAACAAGTGTTTCTACCAGCATAGAAAAAAGATGTAGAACACACACATGTGCACAGCACACTCAGTGTTACTGCCAGGTGGTGAGATTGCATTAGTTTCCTTTTGGCTAATGTGTTTTCTACTTTTTCATCCAATAATCCTAAGGATTTGCATAGCTGTATAAAAGACAAAAATATTAAATAAGGATACCCTAAGTCATTAAATATAGATCGTCAGGCCACCCCAGACTAAAGGGGCTGGTACCAGCCCCTGAGGCCACTCCTGAGCTGGGGGTGCAGCTCTGCAGGACTTGTATCAGGAGCCCACCTCCGCTCAGGCCCTGACCCTCCTGGGGCTTGTCTCTGGTCCATTACAAGCAAACATGTAACTTGCAGAAAAAGGGGTAACAATCTTATTTTCAACACAAATTAGCCAGACTGAAGCATTTAAATTCCAATTTTCCATTTTTAAAGGGCTTTCCTAACCAGAATAGGCCATCTCTCACTACAGGCAGTGTGGTTTCTTAAAAGATTTCTGTCTGTAGCCACCATGGCAGACAATTAAAACTCAGACCTCTCACTCAGGATCAGGAAACTTGTCTTGTTAAAGGGATTAATTCTCCTCACCAGAGGAAGGGTCATTTCCATAGTCCCAGAGCCTATCAATGGCCTTTTCAGGATCTAATTATTACATAAACACTCTAAAGGGAGCCCTCAGGTATTGTCCTGTGTCCTGGTCCCACTCCAGGGAAATGCCCTTGAATGTGCAGATCTGTACCCTTGTCATCCACTCCATGGACAATAAAAATGATGTTGCAAATCGGAGCCCTGCCATCAGCAGGGGATTCTGGGGGAGCTACTCGCCTCTCTTGGCCAGGTTCCCTGGCAAAGTCGTTCCAAGTTTTTGTAAAAACCTGTTCTATCCATTTGGTAGCACTTCTTTCTACACTGACTTGCATACAAAATATGAAGTGGCCCAATTGCTATTCTAACAAGTTTGCCCTTTTCACCATCTCTCTTTCAGAAAAAAACAGGGCCCCAGAATAAGCTTGGAGAAGGAATTAATCTCATGCTCAGCAATCATTAAACACCTGTCAACTTCCCATGAAAATACTCTAAAACACTATCAACAAAGCAATCACCCAGCGCCCAGGTGTACACTGCAAATAAAATCCGCAAACTGGCCTCAGGCCTGCAAGGGTGTCCCCGCCTGCTAGTTCAGGAGTGGTTAAATTACCAATGATCTTGGAGAAGCTTAAGAAGCACAGTCAGTCGTTTGGAAAGCTGTTGAAATAGTTGCAAATGTTGATGAATGAAACAAAAGTCAGGAACCTGTATATGCAATACACTTTTAAAAAATGTGTACGCATTTTTAGAAATGGAAGACGACCTGAAAGGACATACACCTACAGTTACTGCAGTCCAGAGCCGTGGAGACACAGCAGTGACTTTTCTTCGGTGTATTTTGTATTTTGGGACGTAAACACAAATTTCTGCAAAACATTAAAAGACGTAACAATTACTTTAACCTAAGTGAAGCTCCTCAAGGAAAGTGTGGGAACCTCAAAGAGGCTTCTGTGAAGGTTCCTTCTCTGAGCTTCTGAGCCCTCCCGCTTCGGCAGGCGTCCGCCTTGATTTTCTTCTCACCACTGCCGAGCCAAAAAAGCCCCACAATTCCCAGCAGATGACTGAGCTCACCCGCTTCCAACACATGAAGCTGCCCGGGGCCGGCTCCAGTCCCCTCTTCTCCCACGCGCTGCTGCAGAAAAACAAAGGGCGAGGGCGGGGCGGGGAGGAGGAAGCACCCAGACTGCGGACACCGCCGAGACGCGCGGCTAGGACGGCCGGAAAATTCCACCGGGGTTCGGGAGTCGCGGGAGCGGCCGCCCCTGCAAGGCCGGGCTCTTGGCAGGAGGCCGCGGAGGCCCCGACTCCACCCGTGCAGACAACGACGGCCGCCGGCGGGTCACGGCCCGGAGCCGCCGTGCGCCCCGAGGGCCGAGCGGGGAGGCCCGCGCCAGGCCAGTGCCGCCCCGCCGCCCCGCCGCCCAGGAGATGCGGCGGGAGGCCGGGCCCCCTCGGGGCCCGAGGGCGCACTGGGGGCGGCCGCGCCGGACCAAGGGGCGTCCCCACGCGGGAGCCGCGCGAGCGCCCGCCCCGGGCCCTCACCTTGGGGTCGCGCTCGTAGTAGTGCTGCTGCGTGCGGATCCAGCGGCCCACCAGGTGGTCGCGCACCGTGTGCGCCAGCGCGAAGAAGTAGTCGCGGGGCGTGGCCACGTTGCGGTCCTTGACCAGCGTGAAGTGCAGGTGCCGGTTGAAGCTCTTCCGCACCTCGGCCACGTCGCCCAGCCCCGCGATCCCGCGCACACTGATCTGCTTCCGCTTCTCGCTGTCCGTCAGCGGCTTCGCCATCACGCCGGCCGAGGAGAAGGAGGGACGGGAGGACGGCGGCGAGCGGACACGCGCGCACCGAGGATGCTGCGGCGGCTCTGGCGCCCAGGGACTGCGGCAACGCCGGCTGGTACAGGACGCGCCTGCGCGCTGCGCCGGGGCGGGGCCTCCGGGGGAGCAGGCCCGTGGGAGAGGCGGGGCCTCGGAAAGGGAGAGGCCCTGTGGGCGGGGATTTCGGGAGGGGCGGGGTCTCGGGGAGGGGCGGGGCTCCCGGCTTCGGTTCTTGGGCGTAGGAGAGGCTCCTGTTTCACCGACCAGGAGTCGGGACCCGCCCTCGGCACCCAGGCGCTGCGGTGTGGCCTCCACACTGGTCGGGCCGGCAGAGGAGGGAGGCTACGGGGGAGCTGCAGGACTCGGACCCCGAGCGCCAAGGCCAGGCCGGGGAGGGGCAGGCCAGTCGCGGGCCGCCCCAGCCGGGAGTGCGCCCTGTGCGGGTGCAGCCGAGGCCCGGCAGCCGTTACGAGAACCGAGTACCCATTGGAAAGGCAGCCGCCGACGCCCGGGGGCGGGGGTGGCTCGGTTCCTACCAAGACGGCGCCGCCGGGCCTGTGGCCCTGCCTGGATGCCAGGCGCTGCTGGTGGCAGACAGCGTCCCGGGCACGGATCCGACCCCTCCTCCGCTGGACCACCGCCTCCTTCCCGGGAAGCCTCTTCCCCGCATCGCGGCCTCAGACGCCCTGCCGGGACGGACGGACGCGTCCCCCTCTGGCCGCGGATCTGGGCACTCTGACCGAGGCAGCCGCCTCCGGTCCACCCCGGGGCGCGCTCCCGCTCAGGGGCGTCTGGGCACGGCTGCCCACGGGGGCTGACCGGGCGCTTCCCAACGAGGCCCCGAGGCCTGCTCGGCTGGGAGCCCCTGGGAAGCCCGCTGTGAGCGTCACCTGGACGCGTCCTGCCCGCACCCCGCGGGAGCTGTGCCTTCTCTTTGGGCGCGCGTGGCCCGGGGTGAGCAGGCCCCTCCCTGCGGGGGCCCAGTGAACTGGATCCGCTGGGGCTGCCGGCTTGCTCCTGGTGGTCTCGGACTGCGAGTTTCCTGATTCCCATGGAGTCACAGTTGCCCGCGGGTACTGTCGTCCAGGACCAGCCTCCGGGGGTGATGCTTCCAAAGTCATCTTCTTACCTGGACCTTCTTCCAGCTGCATTTTTCTCGGGGAACAGTAACTCTGGAGTGCTTTCTACACCTCCCTCCCCTCCTCCCCCCAACACACACCCACCTGCTCCAGCCCTTAAATTCACTCTTGGAATTATTTATTATCTATTCCTTCACACTTTAAGCCAGGAAGATGGGCTTTCAGCCGCTGCCGGCCGGGATGTCGCCCAGCTTGGCTGGAGGCTTGCAGACTGACGTAATCTTTTAGTTACCCGGCCATTCCTGAGAAGGCTGAGCGCTCTGACCGGCCCTACCCCTCTGGGCATGGATTTCAAGAAAAGATCCTAAGACAAAAAGCGGGCTGGACAAAGATGTCTCCTGCTGTGCTGTCCAGTATACTTAAAAGTTTCTGCTGCCCAACTAGGGAGCCCGTGGGTGAGAAATAGGGGGGCTGCCATTTACTGATGCTCGCTGTGCTCGGTGTGAGCCTGACCCGTAGGCCCCGCAGACAGCCTCCTGTGTCCCCACCTGATGATGCACAAGCCGAAACACAGGGACGTGAAAATGCCTCCCTCTCCCAGCTCGTCAGGGAGACCGCCAGGATCCACCCCAGCCCCGCACCACTGCACCACACTCGGCATCATGCACTGCTGTGGCGCTGAAGGGACTGCACAGGTGTCAAGGGTGAACGAAGAGACAGACCTGAGAAGGATGTGATGCAGAAATGGTTTTTATTTTATCTTATTTAAATTAAATGGCCACATGTGGTTGCTGTTTTGGAAACAGAATTACGACTAAAAAATAGGCACCAGTTTTAATGGCAGAATTACCAGGGGAAATTATTTTCCTTACACTTTTTGTATTTCCCATTTTTTCCTCCATTCTTAGTTTAGTTTATCATATTTCATACTTCCCGCTTTGGATGGAGATCTTTCTTGGAAAGCACGGTTGATCAAAATCTTTTCTGTCCCACTGCATCGCCACAGTGGGTCCCTGCCCTCCTCTGGGTCTGTGTGTCCCTTGTTGGGAAAATGGTTGGTCCTGGAGGAGGTGCTTCAAGGGAACTTACAGCCGAATTGGAGCAATGGGGATGTAACCAACAGGATGATCATCTGTTATTGATAAAAGTTTTTCTCCTTGAATGAAGTTCAGTATTGGTGCCTGTGATCATTTTAAGAATAGTAGAAGGAGGTGTTACATTTCCTAAAAATCAGGTATCTCCAAGACCCTTCCATCTATCAAGGCATTCATATGTCCAGGATTGATGATTATATCCACATATAAAATTCTATCCTTTATGTGTACAAAGTAAGCCAGACGTATTTTGAAAATTTGGGGAGTTACTGGCAGGTATTGAGAAGAAGGCAGAGTCTATGCAAGAGGCAGTATTAGAAAGTTTCTGGGGTGAAAGGTTTGTTTTTGATAACAAACCCCTCAGTCTGAAAAGCAAAGGGCTTGGGAGATAATGGATGATGGCATCATCTTTGCAGGCCACTGTCAGTAAAGGAAAGAGAAAAAGGTTTTGTCCTTTAAGTACGAAATCTTGAGCCAGAGGCCTGGGAGGACGCAGTCTAGCTGGGTGCAACTACTCTTCCTGGCCGATTGGAGTTCAAGGTCTCCAGTGCTTGTGTCGGTGTCAGGACCAGATGTCAGGTGGAGTCTTTTTTTGGCTATGAAATGCGTATCCAAAGTCCCTGAAGTCCCACTGCCGTGTGGCTAGTGAAGAGGACCTGATATAGTTCCTTCCAAGGAGATAGGGGAGTCTGAGAATTTCTGGATTTGGGAGGGATCAGGTACAGAGGAAAGAGAAATGTTTCAATTCTGCTTACAAAGGTATAATTTATTATATTTCAGTAAGTCAGAGCTTAAGAGAAAAAAGACTTGTTAACTATGGAAAAATAAAACATTAAAAAAATCAGCAATGTTTCAAAAAAGTCATGAAAATTATACTCATCCCCCTCAGTTCATTTAATCCCATGTTATCAATTCTTGTTCTGCTCAAGTCCAGTTTTCCCATTAGTCACAGCAATTCTCACCCAGCTTAATTTTATGGTTTTAAGATTATCAGGAACCTGTATGCTGGAGTCCTTCCATAATTCCCCTTGAAGAAATAGCTCATTTGCAAAAGCATCAGAGTAAAACAATAACTGTAAATGACAAAAGACTTAAAAATGGCCATGGTTAAAGATCTGTTTGTTGTAATACAATTGATAAGGATATTTGATTATTTCTGTGACACTTTAAGGGTTTAGCATCACTTATTTGACATGATTCCCACGTGATTCAACATACGAAATAAACCTGTTAGGCAGAAAAATAGACATGAGGTGGGTGGAAAGCCCACTAAGAAGACCCAGAGTTAATGAGTTCATCAGTTAAAGCTCAAAAAGCCGGGAGTAACTTGGCCTGGAATGTTTGACTATTCCCCAGATAAAGGAAGGTACCCTTGTCTTTATTGTGTTAATCATGCAGGCCCAGCTTATTTTTTAACTTTACTTATATGCAGGGTTTTTTTCCTTCATCTCTAACCAAGTAATTTGCAGCCTGGGCGAGCACGCCAGCTGTAAACAACACAGTAAAAAGGCAGGAAGTTAGGAGGTGGGATTCTTAGCTTACTCTTTGCCCTGGGGACTGGGCAGGTGGTCTTGTTTGATCTGCTCCCAGACAAAGACGCCTGTATCTCAGGAAGAAATCAGAGCAGTAAATTATTTGTGTTAAGTTCATTTTAAATATTCAGGAACCATTTACAAGTCTGCATCCCCAGCCCTTAGTCACATTCCTGAAAAATCCTTAAAAGAGGGAACCTGCAAGGGAAACAAAAGCAAAAATGAACAAGTGGAACTATATCAAGCTGAAAACCTTCTGTACAGCAAAGGACACCACCAATAGAACAAAAAGGCATCCTACAGTATGGGAGAATATATTCATAAGTGACAGATTCGATAAAGGCTTGACATCCAAAATATATAAAGAGCTCATGCACCTCAACAAACAAAAAGAAAATAATCCAATAAAAAAATGGTCAGAGGAGCTGAACAGACAGTTCTCCAAAGAAGAAATTCAGATGGCCAACAGGCACATGAAAAGATGCTCCACATCGCTAGTCATCAGAGAAATGCAAATTAAAATCACAATGAGATATCACCTCACACCAGTAAGGGTGGCCACCATCCACAAGACAAACGACAACAAATGTTGGCGAGGTTGTGGAGAAAGGGGAACCCTCCTACACTGCTGGAGGGAATGTAAATTAGTTCAACCATTGTGGAAAGCAGTATGGAGGTTCCTCAAAAAGCTCAAAACAGAAATACCATTTGATCCAGGAATTCCACTTCTAGGAATTTACCCTAAGAATGCAGCAGCCCAGTTTGAAAAAGACAGATGCACCCCTATGTTTATCGCAGCACTATTTACAATAGCCAAGAAATGGAAGCAACCTAAGTGTCCATCAGTAGATGAATGGATAAAGAAGATGTGGTACATATACACAATGGAATATTATTCAGCCATAAGAAGAAAACACATCCTTCCATTTGCAACAACGTGGATGGAGCTAGAGGGGATTATGCTCAGTGAAATAATCCAGGCTGAGAAAGACAAGTATCAAATGATTTCACTCATCTGTGGAGCATAAGAACAAAGCAAAACTGAAGGAACAAAACAGCAGCAGAATCACAGAACCCAAGAATGGACTCACAGTTACCAAAGGGAAAGGGACTGGGCAGGTGGGGTGGGGAGGGAGGGAGAAGGGGAGTGGGGAGAAAGGGGCCATTAAGATCTATGCTGATGGACAGTGACTGTAATGGTGTTTGTGGGGGGGCACTTGGTGAAGGGGGGAGTCTAGTAAACATAATGTTCCTCATGTAATTGTAGATTAATGATACCAAACTTAAAAAAAAAAGAGGGAACCCACAGTCCTTCGGGGCTCCTCTCTCTGAGGTCACCTGCACTTCCTAAGTGTGTAGACTTTCTCTCT